AATTTAACAAGCTAATTTACTTGATTGGCCAATTTTAGTCATTTCAAAATTTTAATTATGTTACTAGCTAACAAATCATGGCAATAATAACCACTCAATTTACTCTCACCTAACGATGTATCCGATTTAATAATATAATAATATATTTTTAGTAAAAGGGGTTATAATGTATCTAGCACATTGCAAATTAACGCATGTAATTTAATTTAGCTAGGTAAATATCCGCTACAATTAGGGTTCCGAAATATCAAAGCTTAGGCAGGATTTTCGAGGTCTGACTTCTTCATTAAGTAGTGAGCGACGGTTGCGCGAGCGGGTGAGTAATACACTCGTGCCCGCCCGCGCCAAATGACAAATGATTAACATTTTCAAAATTCTGAATTTCAATTAACAATTTCTGAAATTCATTTGCGATTATGATCAACATTCTCCAATTATAAATTGATTCTATTAATGGAGTAATATTTTGCCATTACAACTTAAATAATGAATAGTATTATGGTAATACATAGATTTTTAAATTAGATATTGTAATAAAAAAAATCAATGAATAATTTAACTACTTATAATTTATTAGTTATAAATACTTATAATTGTAAATAAAAGTAAGCAACTATTTTAATTATTAATCAAATGACCGCAATTATACTGGGAGAACATTAAGTTTGTTGTAGTGACCTGGTATAAATAATAGACAAAGGAAATATATTCTCAAGGTAATATCAAGGTTTTTAACTATATTAAGGTGAACGCTAGATATAGTACTTACAACTATTACAGCACAAATGTGTATCAGATTTTAGGTTATACCTGACTGACCACCATCCATTATCACAACCACCCCAATAACGATAGTAAACACCATTAATATGATTACATTTTACCTCCACTCCCATTCTAAAAGGTTCGCTATTGAGCCGGGTAACTTTATTGAGTACCAAACATATAGTTAACGCGATTAATATTAGTTTCATTTTTGTTATATTAATATAAATAGTCATAAGCTAATACATTTAAATAAGTTTTAAATTGTATACGTTACATGTAGAAATAAATATGTATTTTTATTGAAGTACGTATTTTAATTTTTAATAAACATGCGCTTTTTGATATCACTAATAGCTTATCGCAATTTTTTATTTTGCATGTTTATTTTAAATTCAAGGTTTATAAATTTGGGCATAAATATTACTAATAATAGCAATTCTCATTCCAATTACAGATTTAAATTAAACTCACACCGAACAAGCATACTTTATTGTCTATAAAATTATCTGCTAGTGTATCATACACCCACATACAAGTAATATGAGCAGTCTCATACACTCGCATCCAGGTCAAATTCCAGACATTAGCTAGATCACTATCAGTATCCGTACGGCAATCACCATAACTACCCATGCACTTTGGTCCACAAGCACCTACATCTTTACCAACAACACCGGCATATCCATGACCCGTATAATAGGCCCTATAATATTCTCTAAGGTGATCCGGGTAATCAGTGCTATCAGTGAGATTAGTACCCGGGTTGCCGTAACTGACCAGGTCTTCACAGCCAGCGGTGCAAAGGGTGTACAGTTGGCAGGCCTTTGGCAATACATTTCCCACAGCCATCATAACGTGGAAAAAGTCATCCCGAAACTTTTGCCTAGCTGATAATATTAGAGAGTTATTCAATAAGTACGTACGCAATTTAAAGTTAAAAGGGCCAAGCTATTAGACTATAATATTGTGTACATACTTAATGAGAAGCACTATAATTATACGTACCTCCAGTGTTAATAGGCTGACAAGTTATCCGGGTAGTTATGTTGCATAATAAATATATAGTAATTGCGGTAAATATGAGCTTCATGGTTTATAATTTTAAAGTTTAATAAAGTTTTAATAGTTATTGCCAATAACTTATTGGCAATAGTGTTGAAATTAAATTATTTTATATTTAATAAAATCTGTTTCATTTTAACTCTTTCCTCTTTTATCTAATAATTATTAGCTTGTTTATTTTTGCATTCAAGGTTTATGCTGAATACGTAATATAGTAATCTGATTTAAGTTTGTTTTTCACTATAATCTACTTTTTGATTTGTATCCTTAAAATTTCGCATAAATTTATTTTATATTAATCATTACTTTTTAACTCTACTGTAAGTATTAATAACCTTTGTATTATTACTCAAATGTTTAATAATCAACTAGTCTTACATAAATAAGGTGTTTATTATAAATTATATAACTTATAAAATAAAAATATTTAATATCTATTAATGATATAGCATAAATACTGTACGATAATATTCAGCTAATGTAATAATTTAATAACACATTTTGCCAAAATTACTTTACTATCATTAAATATAAGTATAGTTTATGTTTATAATATTTTATTTATTGTGAAATTATATGTGAATGCAATGTAATGCATAATTAAATATACTGACATTCAAACAAACTATTTTATCAAAATATTATTTATCGCAAAATACTATAAAAATTATGTTAAAAACTCATTCAATGAATATCACAAAAATAATCAAATAATAAAACTTAATTATCACAAAAAAATAATTTTTTATATAAAAAAAATTACACGACATTCCCCTCAGTCTGCCTGTCCAGCCAACTCTCAGGTACGGTATTAAATATACCCATGCCGGCAAAATGACCTTTCTCATAAACCTTCAACCACCACCAGTTCCACCAGTTTGTAAACTCACTACTGGTACCCGTGCTGCACTCTGGGTAAGTAGGCGCGCATACATTCCTACATTCATTCACATTATTATGCACTTCACTAGCGTAGGCCTGTCCAAGCTGCCAGGCCTCTACCATCGTATGAAAGTAGTCCGGGTCATCGGACCTATCGGTAGGGTTAGTGGTCTGTACGCCATACCGGACCAAATCCATGCACCCGTAGGCGCACAGTGTGTACAATAGGCAACCCTTGGCCGGCATTCTGTGACCCAAACTCATGGCATAGCGAAAGAACTCTTCACGGAATCGCTGTTTGGATGTCTCTATGAGTGGACAGACATGTCATTAGACAAGGTTTTAATTATTATATAGTTTATGTACATTATTTGGACAGTTAGTACACTATCGATAGCTAAAGACATAATTATTTTAACAATAGTTCAGGTACTAGTATAGTTTAGATATTTTTAGCATAGTTAAGTATATTAAGTAGGTAGTTATTTTAACTATTTGTATTTTAGCTAGTTAATTAAATACATACTGGATTGACAGCATATGTATATATTCTGGTCGGGCTTATACTCGGCTAACCACTGCCCGTATGGACACCAATGAATAGGTTTGAGTTTGTGATACCAGTGCACTGTATGTGTCGTACATTCCTGGTCACCACCCTCTGTGGCACTGGTATTGATTTGATTTAAATAAATATATAACACAAAAATAATTAATTTG